GGGGGCGGGGCTGGCCGGGACTGGCCAGGGCTGGACGGGCTGGGGCGGGGCCCTGGCTCTGGGGGCGTGGCTCAGGGTGCCGGGGCGGGCCGGGACTGGGCTCTGCCGGTTCCAGCTGCACCTGCTTCTGGGTACTGGTCGCCCGCACCTTTGGGTGTTTCTCTGAGCCTGTTATCACTGGGTTCCGCTGGGAACCTCCCCACCACAGGATTTCCCTTACCGGCGAGGGGGCTTTTTTAAAAAAAATTAATTTCTATCTTTGCAAAAATTGACTTTGCAAGTAAAAACTTTAAAAAATATATCAAAAATCATAGGCTCTTTAGCTTCTGACTTTCCACTCGGGTTTTATTAACGAAGGCCCTGAAATCCCCAGTGTGCTCTTCCGTGAGTACAAGGACAGTGACATCTGCGCAAGACACCTGCGTGAGGTGTGGGACGCAGGTGAGGGACACAGAGCTCACCCTGGACCTGAGTGCGGGCAGATAGACGCAGGTGTGCCTTTCACACACCCACCGAGCATGTGGGCGCCCTCATTTCACGCTAGCCGGCCCTCGCCTTGCTCCGGGGAATTAGGCTGCAGCAGGAGAAACCTGTAGCTAAGACCCTGTCCTTGCCCCCATGATGCAGTTAACACCCCGGGGGTTTGTTACAGCAGCTCCAGGAAACCAATAGTAATAGATTCCGGGTGTATCCCAGGCTCTTTCCCCCTTCCTAATGATCTTTCCCCCTTCATCACCAGCAGGACAGGCCCCAAGCACAGACCTCCACACCTGTCCTCTGCTGCTCTTCGAACTAGCCAAGCCCACTCCCACCTCGAGCCTGAACTCGCTTCCTCTGCTCCAGATGCTCTTCTCCCTGATTTTCCCACTGCTGAATCCTTGCCATTCAATCTTGACCCAAGTGTCAACACAGAAAGCCCATCCTCATCCTCTGTCTGAAGTATCCCTATCTCTCTGTCCCATGCCCCCAGTGTATTTCCTTCAGGGCACTTACTAGAAGCCAAAATGCTTCCTGTGTCTGTTACCTTGTCTTTTGTCTGGTTCCTTCCTCTGCTAGAATATATGAAGCTGAGTGAGAGGACTCTCATCTGCCATTGCTCCATCCCTCGCGTAGACTGGCCTCTGCAGCACAGGAGATGCTCAAACCTTGTGTGGCCGGTGCGGACCTGCAGGAGGCACGGTGGAGCTGCACGCCAGTCTCTTAAAAGGTGCGAACTGAGAGCCCGTTCTACTTCCGTGCGGCCTGGGACAGCCACCATTTTTACCATCTCTCTTTATGAATTTGACTACTCTAGGGACCTCACACAAGTGGAATCATACAGCCTTTGTTTTTTTTTTTTTTTTGACCAGTAAGGGGATTGCAACCCTTGGCTTGGTGTCGTCCGCACCTGCTTTCAGCCAGTGAGCGCACCGGCCATCCCCATATAGGATCAGAACCAGCCTTTTTTTTGGTGACTGGCTTATTTCACTTAGCATAATGTCCTCAAGGTTCATCCATGAGTCAGAATTTCATTCCCTTTTTTTTTTTTTTTTGACCGGAAAGGGGCTCGCAAGCCTCGGCAAGTCCCCACCACACTCAGCCAGTGAGCGCACCGGCTATCCCTATATAGGATCCAAACCCACGGCCTCGGCACTACCAGTGCTGCACTCTCCTGAGTGAGCCACAGGGCTGGCCCAGAATTTCATTCCCTTTTAAGGCTGAATAATATTGCATTGTGTGGACAGACCACGTGTTGTTTATCCAGTCATCTATCAGTGGACAGTTGGGCTGCTTCTACATTTCAGCTATTGTAAATAACGCTGCTGTGAATGTGTGTGTGAAAATAACTTCTATACATTTTTAATCCCCACCCACAAAGTGATCACAATTATATTTAGAACTCTACATTATCAGAGAACCAATCCTTTCATCCATCCTTTCGTATAATCTCTGGACTCTGGGCTCTGTGAGAAGAGGAACCCGGCAGATCTCATTTTTTGTTGTATCCCAGCCAGGAGCACTGAACCTGGCATGTGGGAGGCACATGTGTGTGTCAAGGGTAAGGAAGAATGAAAAAAACTGGTCGAGGGCTCACACAGATGAGGAAAAATATATGTGCTTGACCAGTCTTGCATATTTTATTGGTGAATTTTTGTATGAATGTGTAAAAATAAAATTGTTTATTCGTGCATCATATGAAAATGTCTCCATGGATTCTCATCAAATTCAAAGGTTATGTCTAGGATAAATTGGCTAGAAATATAGGCCAGGCAGCATGGTTGGATTACATTTCTTGAGGCACCTGGAGAGCACTTAGACACAGGTGGTCCTTATTTTGAGAGACTAAAGCAGGTACAGGAGGCGCAGATTGCTGCCAGTTTGTAAAAGTGAGGCTTCGTGCAACAGGGTGGCCTTGATGGCTGCCCCTGGCGGAATCAAGAAGACAGGATATGCCACCTTCGTGTAGATGTCGGGGCAGAGAGAAAGCCACGATTCACAAAGCAGAAAGCAGGAATCCAGCAGAAGCATGGAAATAACAGAAGCCACATGAGAGCAGGAATCCCCTGGACGTTCCCAGACTCTTGGGAAGGCGTTGCCTTTCCCAGGGATTCGAGCCCCTTTCATCTAGACAGTGAGGTGTCTCGGTTGACCAGCTGGCCTCTGGGTATGCATATTAGCACCCTGGGGTTGCTGTTAAAAAGTATCACAAACAGGGTGACTTCAAACACCAGGAATTTATTCTCTCAGTTCTGGAGGCTAAAGTCCAAAATCCAGCTGTGTCAGGGCCATGCTCCCTCCGGGGCACCGTCTTCCAGTCTCTGGCGATTGCTGGCAATCCTGCATCACTCCGGTGTCTGCTTCTGCTGTCACCTGACCTTCATCCCTGTGTGTCTGTGTCCAAATGTTCCTCTTATTATAAAGACACCAGTCATTGGATTAGAGCCTGTCCTAATCCACTGACCTCATCTTAACTGATCACACCTGCAAAGACCCTGTTTCTGGATCACACGCACAGGCATCATGAATTAAGACTTCAACATATCTTTTGGGAGTAATGCCTGTAACTCATCATCTCCAAATTCCCACCATCTTGCTTACTTCTGGGCACCATTGCCCGTTGCCTGGATTATCCCAGTGGTCGTCCAACTGGCCCCTTGCTCCAACCTTCATACTGACCTAGAGTGGGTTCTCCAAAATCCAAGCATGGTCACGGCAGCCTCTGCTTAAGACCCTTTGCTAGCTCCCGCTGCATTCAAGATAATGAGCTCACA